CGACTTCTTCAAGCATCTGCAACAGATCAACGTGTTTCAGCTGTTAACGAGATCATCAAAGGCATACGAACCGTTAAGATGCACGCTTGGGAGTGGAGTTACTTAGATATGATCAGGAAATTTAGAAGGTAAGAACATTTAACTAGCCATATTTAACAGCCATATTTCTTTAAAAAAATCCATCGGTTGTATTAAGTAATGCTTAAAGTCTGACAATGAGGACTGGACGGGATTTCAAGTCTACGCRATCCTTCACGGTTCCGTGCGCCATCTTGAAAGGTAGCCGTGCCTTTAAATCAGAAAGTCGGTGGTGTAATGGTAAAAGGCGGAGCGTATTGACTGGACGGTTGGGGATCGATTCGTAAGCCAGTCATGTATCAAAGACCTTTTTTCACTAAATTAATGCTTTGCTAAATTGATTATTTCTAATACTTTATGTAATTTATGAATAATAGGCACGAAATAAACAAAAATGGTTATTTTGCCGACATGAAACAGAAACCTGTTGGGAATGGAGTGCCACAATGCACTCTGGGTAGACGTATATAAGGAAGATTGTAAAGAATCTTAGCCATCTACGGCGACAGTCAACGATTTACTGAATTTGCGTTAGTAAATTTTAGTTGATAACCTATTATTATATGACATAGATATTACGCCCGCTCTGATTGGCTGAAAACTGGTCCATGAAATCGCGTATCCAGACCGTGGGTCCGTCTTTTTCCGTATCCGGACAGGAAATTTCTAATTTGATGATCGCGCAGTAAGTTGGATGAAAGGAATCAAGACAACTTTGTTTATCAGATTTGAGACTTTCTTTGCAATAACAAAATTCAAACAAAATCCATTTTTTTAAAATCCATTTTTTTAATGATCCGAAAGATAGATTGTTCAATTTCAACTACTCCCGCCTTTTTGTCCGCGCTCGCGTCTTGGCACTTAACTTTCCCGCTCTTTTCCGAGTTGACCGTACAGTTGTTTTCGATGCCAACGGCATCAATCCAGCTTAGAAATGCTCGATAAGTATTCACCACAATTTAAAGATAGCCTAAAAAGGATTATATTGGAAGAAAAACTCAATGAAGTTGTAAAAGCTCAAAAGAAGCCAGAACATAAGCTTAAGTCCACAAACTACTCAAAACAAAAGTGAAAAGCCGAAGGGATTCAAGCAGGTGTCTTGGCAAGAATGAAATCCTCCTCTTATAAAGCCTGCTTTCCTCGATTGAATGACTCCTCGGTTGTTGGAAAAGAAAGAAAATTGTAATTCTATATTGAGAGACATCCACTTCGATGATTTTTAAGATGTAGGAACTGAAAACACGAGAAAATTGAGAATCAGTGTGAGCTCGTTCAAATGCAAAGCTTTCTCAATGAAAACACTCAGCTGAAAACAGGCGAACTTTCAAGCACTTCGTGGTGCATAATCCTCGTCTATCAAGTCTACTTTTAAAATTGCTCGATGCAATAACTCCTCGGTTGCTGGAAAAGAAAGAAAATTGTAATTCTATATTGAGGGACATCTAATTCGAAAAAATAAACAAATCTACACCGGCGGCAGCGACGATAGAAGAATAAGTGAAAATTTGTGAGTAARCTGTAATAATAATATGTTTGTGTATGGAAATAAACTGAATCTATGAAACAAGGAGCCAAAATTCCCGTCTTTTTAGCCGAAAAATTACTGAAAATATGATGATTTCTGTGTCATTCTACTCATATCGTGAGATATCGTGAAAAAAGCGGTGCTATCAGATAGAGGGAGGCAGCGGATTGTAAGTTAGCCAGAGAGACTTTTCCTATATACTTTGTAGTAATTTTTCTACATAACCTACGATGTAAAAGTCATATAATAAACGAGATATTAACCTCGCTTGCTCGACCAGTTATTTAAGTTCCAACAATCTCGATGAAGCGATGCAGTCTGCTTATCGAGCAAACCATTCTACAGAGACTGCTTTGTGCAAAATCTAAAATGACATAACACTTTCACTTGATAGAAATGAATGTGTTCTGCTTGTTGCTTTGGATCTATCGGCTGCCTTTGATACGATCGATCACCCATTGTTACTTAGAAGGTTAGCACATCGTTTTGAAATTACTGGAAGATGTCTGCATTGGATCAAATCTTACATAGAAGGAAGGAAACTAAGAGTCGCCACTGATGGTACCCTTTCAGATCCTAAAGACCTATGTTGTGGTGTCCCGCAGGGCTCAGTGCTTGGGCCCAAACTATTCACTATGTACCTTATTTCACTTGGTGATATTGCACGTAATCATGGTGTTCGTTTCCATGCCTATTTCCTTCTCAAAGGCAACTGTCCCCACGATCAAGTCAAAGATGGAAAATCTCCTTGTAGATGTCAAGAAATGGATGACAACTAACATGCTTAAGTTAAATGATGACAAGACGGAAATAATTGCTTTAGATGGCCCTCGTCGTACCCCAGTGGAACTACAGTCTTTGAAAGTGGGTGATGAGGTAGTGGGAATCTCGAAGGTTATTCGACTTCTTGGAGTTGACATTGATGCAAGCTTATCTCTCAAACATCACATTTGCAATGTTGCAAGGAAATGTACATTTATGCTGAAGAACATGTTCAAAATCGATCAGACGGTGTGTGGATAACAAAGCGGCCAAGGCCATGGTCCATGATGCAACGCAATTCGCTCTCAATTCTTCAGGCCTGCCTGAAACAACACTGAAGTACTTTTACTACCTCGCGCTCGGTTAATAAGACCTAAATATTTATACTTATTTGTACATATATCGGTATAGTACTTTATCGCTTATTATCCCACTATGCTTAGGATTAGGAACCTCCTGCCTACGAGGTTGCAGCATTGCCTGCTGGCGTTTCCTCCAATTTTTTCCCACTGGTTTTATTTTTGGCAAATTTTGCGTACCCCGCATACTGCTTAGAGACGTAGTCATATGTGTAATATAGAAGTTTTAGAATAAAGTACCCATTGCGTTCGACGGACCAACATGCCCAAGTATCAGTGTGTTGTACGTTTATGTGTATTGGAGGGAAAAAAGGGAGACATAACTGGAAATAAGGTATTAGGAACTGAAAATAATGTAGAAATATCTGAAAACAAGGTAGAAGTAACTGGATATACGAGCTAAAAGTACGTTCTCTGGTTTCCAGTTACTGCACGTGGTGCAAATTAMAATCAGAGATTGTCTGAATATCTCATGGATAATTAATGAGTATAAGAAGAAGATGGAGTCCAACAAAAAGACTAAGGATACCTATTTCGTRTATTGTTTTCGTAATCACGGCGTTACAATTGTCATCTAATTAAATGCGCAATCYTTAATGCCTTGYCAGAACTGATCAATGTATAAATAACTGGAAGCGCATTGTCACAGCCCTTCGTTGATTTGTATTGATCCATTCCCTTGAGAGAAAGGGGAAATTTAGATAGCTCTGAGAGAAATCACTGTTATGGACGAGGTTTAACATACTAGCTCTAACTTAATCAACTTTTCTATCTATTTTAGGAAAGAGATCAAGTTGGCCTGTATAAAGACCATATATTCATCAATCGTAGCTGTTTTCTATTCAATTTTGATTGTAGTAGCAACGGCCGTGTCTGC